AAAACAGACATGTTGGATATTTCTAGAATGTAAAGATCTCAATAAATCTTGGAAAACCAGGAATATCTCCCTACCTCTGGAGCTTGAAAGAGATACATTAATAAACCAATACAAGAAAATACTATTTTAACATTACAATGCCCATTCGTGGGTGATATTCTTAGATGAAATATTAGACATCAAGAGTCTCAAGACTATAAAAGGCCACACTTGGCATCAGATTAATTTTTAAAAAGATATAAAGATAGGAAAAGTAGCATGCCAAGAGCAAAACCCCACAGGCTTTTGTTTTCCTTGGGAATCCTTATGGTAGTTTCTGGGCTAGTCTTTGACCCTTCAAATGACAGCTCAGATGCAAGAGAATGAGACTACTGTAGGCAGATGCAGTAGCCACCCTACCTTAGAACCATGTCCCAAATAGAAACCAATATCCTTGTGACAGTCTCAGCTTCTAGGTCTTTGTAAAGGATGTGCCCAGTTATAAAAGTTCTCTCATTCAAAGAAGCCCAAAGCGATGGCTTCTCATCAAGTATTTGTAGTTCATTCATAGTCCTCCAAGTAATGACTCAGCTTACCAATCAAATGTCATTTTATCACATTATCATTTTATCATAGCAGTGTTGCTTGGTAACACAACTGACATTCTACCTCCATTAGATTTCCAGAGAACTGAGCTAAAAGCATCTTAACCCAAGGCCAATTTCTCATGTAAAAGGGGAAAAAGTTTTGTGAAACCTTTACCCACAAGCATAATGAGTCTTAAACTCAGTATTTTACCTCCAAAAATACTACTGGCAAGAAACAGAAATGAATTTGGACAAATTCATGAATGACATGGTTAGAAGAAGCTTTTCAGAAGTAAGTAAATAGCTGCCTATAAATTTGCCTTCACAGAGAGAACAATTTCTACTGGATGTTATAATCCTTAAGACTGCTTGTAGGAATAACTGTTAAGAGGAATGGATATAATTAAAAAAAAAAAAAAAAAAAAAGAGGAATGGATAAAGGCTCTGCTTGAGTTCTGGATAGTTTCTTTGAGAGCTGAGATGACAGCAGGGACGTCATTCTCCCATGAGATACCCTCCAGCCACCATAGACTCTTTACTTCCCTTAATAACTGGTACTTTTGCATTCTCATCTTCTATCAAAGCATAAAACTAACACAAATTCTTAAGACTATAAACCACAATTTACCATGTTGTCAAAAATAGTCTATCCCATAAAAGAAGACGGAGTTAACTTGTGATGGGTGTTCCTTAGGCAATACTTTGTTTCATAATCTTATTAACACTGACACTTTTCAATTTTAAAGAGATCTTATCAACACCAACACTTCTTAATTAAAACTCAGAATTAACAAGAAGGACATGGGGCCAGAGATGAAATATTCGAGAAGTTGCCTAAGGATGCGCTCACACACATCCTAAATATCAGTGAATCTACATGGGAGTATACTGGTTCATAAAGATTTCCCTTAAAATGTCAAAGTTTGATTCTTAAAATAAATATCCTTGTGTGAAATGGTGTTTCTGCTTTACCTTGATTGCACGGATGGCAACTATACCCAAATTCCCCAATTCTGTTAATGATACCTAAATGATGTTGACATAAGCGTAGGAAAATGACAAGAGTGTGCATGGCAAAATATTTTGCTATAGCTGCAACCGTTAGGTATATAATTGAAGCAGCTTAAGGAAAGCCAATGAAATTAAGCTGACAGAGAGTTTTAATATTGATTTCTGTTTACCAGCAATCATGAAAAAGCTGTGAAAATCAATGAATGGATTTGCAATAGTATACTCAACTGTAGATTAAACTCACATTTAATTGTGTAGATTCCAGAGTATCCAGCAGTTAATACATCCTATGTGTTAAGAGTCTGGAATGGGAGGCTAGCTATGGCCCAAACCTGATTTCAACCAAGTACCTAACAACTACACAAAACTCTACTAAGACAAACAAAAGATTAACCTACTTCGGCAAACTGGCTTATGAGAATGGATAGAGACATTCTTAAATGTCTGAAATTTGACCAGAATCTATGTGTTGCTGCCACCCTGAAAGCAAAAAGAAGGTTTTTGTTTAGAAGCCACTCTTTACCTTCTCTCTCCATCCCCAAAGTAGTTCAGCCTCTATCTTTGCTTTCAAAACTCTGACAGACAGGCTTCTACACTCCAGGCAGGGGCCTAAAGAATTCTTATCTAAGGACATGGACTAGCCCCCAAAACAAGATTTAATGATACTGATATAAAGGGGTTCCAAAGAAATGACCATCTAATTAAGAAGAATTTCACAGACCAAAAGTGGCAGGGAAGAAATAATTTAAAAGACTATTTGGCTGGGTGCAACGGCTCACGCCTGCAATTCCAACACTTTGGGAGGCTGAGTGGGGAGCATCACTTGACCTGGGGGTTTGAGACCAGCCTGGGCAACATAGCAAGGTCTTGCCTTTACACACACACACACACACACACACACACACACACACACCCCTGCGTGTGGTGATGCATGCCTGTATCCCAGCCAGTTGGGAGGCTGAGCTGGGAGGATTGCTTGAGCCTGTGAGTCAGAGGTTGCAATGAGCCATGGGCATGCCACTGTACTGTAGCATGGGCAACAGAGTGAGGCTCTGTCTCAAAAACAACAACAGAAAGAATATTTGATAGCATTGAACATCAGTCTCTAGACTAAAAAGGCTCTTCAAGTATCCACTACAATTACCCAATGCACAGGAAATCACGATGTTCCAGAACACAAGGATAAAGAGATCAGAAAAGCTTCCATAAAGACCAGGTCATATATAAAGGGAGAAGAAAGATGTTTCAGACATGATAAATTTAAAAATAAAAAAAATCTATCTCATATACACCATTTTCCCAGAAAGCTACTATAGTATATGTTCCATCAACGCAAAGTAGTAAACAAAGAAAGACAAAGACACAGGAGCCAGGCTTAACCAAAGGAGAGCACTGAAGGCAATTCCCAAGAATACACTGTAGCTGTGCAGAACCAGTGCACAATGGGTGTGGCAGGTAGCAGGTCTCCATAGAAAGAGTAGATTTGAGAATGTTACCTGATCTGTTGGACTATTTGCAGAGGAGTTTTAGAGTTTTATTGAAAAGTTTGTAGCTGTGTTAGAGATTGGATATTTGCAACATATAACCAAGAAAAGTTTAGAATCTAGAACACAAGAATAATAAAATATTTATTGATAAGAAAAAGATAAATAACTCAATAGAAAAACTAACAAGACTTGAACAGGCAGTCTCAAAAGAGGAACTCTAAATGGCTAATAAACATATGAAATATGCTTATCCTTATTAGTAATCAAGGAATTACAAATTAAAAGTATAATAAGATGCCATTACAAAACTGACAAAACTATCAAAACAATTTTTTATGAGTATGTAAAGCAACAGGAATTCTCATACAGCAGTGACTAAAGTGTAAAATGGTAGCACCCCAGGGAAAATGGTTTGGCATGATACACAACACCCAGCAATTCCACTATTGGGTAAACACCCCAGAGAAAGGTATGTACATGTGCTTACTTACTATTGAAATTATATATTTATGTTTGTTTCATAACTTAATTATTGAATGTCTTCCTAAATATAAGTAACACAAGGACAGTGATGGTGGCTCTTCAGTTTACTTGAACCTAGCACTGTGAATTATATTAGTTATTCAAAAAATATCTATGGAACCAAATTGAATCAGAAAACACTAATATGGCAGTAGAAAACTTAGCAAAAACATTTTTAAAAAGGACAGGAAGCAAACATTCACAGACGTGTAAAAAATGTTAAACCACGTTAGTAATTAAGGAAATTAAAATATGAAAAAATACCATTTTTGCCATAAAAAGACATTAAAATAATTACAATGCTGAAAGCTACAAAAGTACAGTGACATAGATCCTCTCATAGGTCACTTGTGGAAGTATAAGATGATATACAGGTGCATAAATTATTATTATTATTATTTTTTGAGACAGAGTCTCACTGTGTTGCCCAGGCTGGAGTGCAGTGGCACGATCTCAGCTCACGGCAAGCTCCGCCTCCCGGGTTCATGCCATTCTTGTGCCTCAGCCTCCTGAGTAGCTGGGACTACAGGCGACCACCACCACGCCTGGCTAATTTTTTGTATTTTTAGCAGAGATGGGGTTTCACCATGTTAGCCAGGATGGTCTCGATCTCCTGACCTCGTGATCCGCCCATCTTGGCCTTCCAAAGTGCTGGGATTACAGGCGTGAGCCACCGCTTGCCTGGCCTTTTTTTTTTTTTTGGGAGACGGAGTTTTACTCTTGTTGCCTAGGCTGGAGGACAATGGTGTGATCTCAGCTAACTGCAACCTCCATCTCCTGGGTTCAAGCGATTCTCCTGCCTCACTCTCTCAAGTAGCTGGGAATACAGGCATGAGCCACTGCGCCCAGCCCAGAGGCACAAATTCTATAGTTTTTCTGGAAAGCAATTTCGCAACCTGTGTTGAATCTTGAAAATAAAGATGCCCTTTGACAGAAAAACTAGTAAAATTCCAGCTTTAAAACCATACCAAAAATTAATTTTAAAATTTGAGATAAGACTTATTTATAAACTTTTCATTCATTATGAATTGATATAAAACATTGGAAATAAATGAGCAAAAATGGGATAATGGTTATATATATTTTAGGACACAAACATGGGCTAGATAAATATTAAAATGTGAGACTTTCAAAGAGTTCATAATACCATAGAAAAATGCTCACAGTCTAAGTGTAAAGTAAAAATGGCAGAATAAAGAACTGTATGAAATATGACTTCAATTGTATTAAATATGTATGTGTATGTATATACAATACACAGATTACCACAATTATTATAGCAAAATAGACTGCAAATACAGTTAATGTTGAAAGAAGAAACTCTTACTATTACAGTTCTTACCAAGGATTATTAAACATTCTCTGCTTTAACACTTAAAAAAGAATCATAATAAATGTCTTCATTTACACTTACCAGATCAATATTTTGCATTATATCCTGAAATGAAGGATGAGTTCGAAATTGTTCGAAGAGATCGCGTTTGTAGAGCAGGGCGTATACCAAGTTTGGGTTGTGGTGAAGGGAATTTGTCAGGCAGGAGTTGATGATCTCTAACATCATTCGAATCACTTCTTCAATGACATTTAGGTCTTGTGCCTCATAAGGAAAAGAAACCCCAACACAGAGTCACTCTTTTTCTCCTTGCAATAGAATTAATCGAAATAAGAGAAATTGCCTTAAAATTATAACAGAATTGGAAAGATCACACAGAGAAGCTCATCAAGATTATTTCTGTCAAGAATCTTAAGAATGAGGTTTGTCAGTTACTAAAGGATGAGGTTTGTCAGTTACTAAAGGATTTGGGTTAAAATCTTTTGAACTTAGTATGGTAATAATTAGGAATTTCATATAATAAATTACAGACATCAATCTAGAGGGAAATTTGGAGCTTACTCAGTTCCTCATTTAATAGATCCATATTGGTATTCTCACTATTGTACTACCCTAAATTGTTAAGACTGCCACGATGTAGAGTAGTGGTAGGGTAGTACCCATTCCAAGAAAATGACTACTAATTCAGAAAATGACTTCATTGCTCTGCATTGTCATTTCAGTCTTTATATTTCAGATAACAGACTATGATTTTGTCACTGTTTCCTCGGAGTGAATAGTCTTTGGGAATCTGAACATTAAATAGTTACCAAACAGCAAAGCTCAAAGTAAGCAATCAGCAAACCTCTTGGAAGAAAAGGGCAATGGAAGGAGCAAGCACATGGGTATATACAACAGACTTTCCTCTCCTCTTCAGTCTTCTATAATATATTTGACAGTTGAAGCAAAAATTATAACATTGATGTGGTTCTCAATGTATGTAAAGGAATATCTAAAACAATTATAAACAAAGGTGGGTAAGGGATTTAAAGGGACAAAGGTTTCTACAGCTCACTTGAACTGGTAAAATATCAACACTAGTAGACTGCGATAAGCTATGTACATATAATGTAATGTCTAGAGCAAATCTACCTGACAAGAAACAAAAATACTATAGATATATTAAGGCTGGGGGCAGTGGCTCACGCCTGTAATCCCAGCACTTTGGGAGGCAAAGGTGGGCAGATCACTTGAGCTCAGGAGTTTGAGACCAGCCTGGGCAACATGGCAAAACCCCATCTCTACAAAAAATACAAAAATTAGCCAGGCGGGTGGCACACACCTGTAGCCTCAGCTACTTGGGAGGCTGAGGTGAGAGGATGGCTTAAGCCTGAGAGGTGGAGGTTACAGTGAGTTGAGATTGCTCCACTGCATTCCAGCCTGAGTGACACAGCCAGACTGTCTCAGAAAAAAAAAAAAAAAAAAAAGAAAGAAAAAAAAAAAGAAAAGAAAAAGAAAAAAAGAACTAGAGATATATCAAAATGGGATTCTAAAAAAATTTTCATACAGGAAGGCAGAAAAAATGCAAATGAAAAAGGGGAAACCAACAAAAAACAGAAAGTAAAATGGCAGTTACGTATTAATAACTACATTAATTGCAAATAGTCTACAATAGTTAAAATCCAAGGAATGTCAGAGTGGATTAAAAGCACACCACCCAACTATATGCTATCTATGAGAAACTTCTAATATAGTTGGGTTGAAAGTAAAAGGACGGAAAGATACCTACGCAAACATAAGTCAAAAGAAAGCAGGAGTGGCTATACAGTATACCGTATCTTTAAAGGATTGGTTCCAGGACATCCCCGTGCCTTGGAAATACCAAAAATCTGCAGATGCTCAAGTCCCTTATACAAAATGGCATACTACAGTTGCTCACTCCATCCATAGATTTAAAAAAATCTATGGGTATGGAATCCGAGGATATGAAGGGCCAACTGTATGTACTTTCAATCTGTGTTGGTTGAATCTGTGCATGCTTAACTCAAAATATGGAGGACTGACTTATATTAGTATTAGAGTAGACTTCAGAGTCTATCTGGCCTATAAAATAAAAAGTATTGACTATCTGGCTCTTTACAGAAAAAGTTTACTTTCCCTGCTTAAGAGATGAAAAGGTATGCCTATGTCCATACAATTTACCTCTGTCTTGCGTTTTTTACTTTTTTTTTTGAGTCAGGGTCTCACCCTGTCACCTGGGCTGGAGTGCAGTGACGCGATCCTAGCTCACTGCAGCCTTGAATTCCTGGGTTCAAGCAATTTTCCCATCTCAGCCTCCCAAAGTGCTGGGATTACATGGGTGAGCCACTGAACCCAGCCTCTGCCTCTGTTTTCTTAAATACAATGTTTAACATTCAATTGAAATGTATGAAACACACAACAAAGCAAGTAAAAGAATCCATGTTGAAAAGACAAAGTCATCAGCAGAATATGACACAGAGATAAAACATTCTGAAAATATCAAAGAGGGAATCTAAAAGAACTATGATCTACAAAATTTGTTTGAATTGATTGGGAATTTCAGCAGAGTTAAAAACTATAAGAAAGAGACAAATGGTAAAGATAAAATTTTTGTAAAATGTGGTGACTGCAGTGAAGAATGCCTTAAACAGGTTTCAACAACAGACTGGACAGAGCTTGCGAATGAACTGCAAACCTGAAGGCAGGTTAACAGAAACTGCACAAACTAACCCTACAAAGAGAAAAAGAGTGAGAAAACAAGACAGAGAATCCAATGAGGGCTGTAAAATAATATGAAATGCATTAATATACACGCAATTGACTCCCAGAAGGAAAAGAGAGAAAGAATGGGGCAAAAGAGATATTTGAAGAGATAATGACTGAGCATTTCCTATAAATAATGAAAAAAAAAAATCAAACAGATTCAAGCACTCAAGCACGTCAGAAAATATCCATGGTCACCCCACCCCCAAACAAAAACCAAAAGAACCATCTACTTAGATCCATCAAATTCAAATTATTAAAAATCAAAGACAAAGAGAAAATCTTGAGGACAGTTTAAAAAACAAAAACAAAAACACACACACACATTAAATACAGAGGCGCAGAGATAAGAGTCACAGCTGACTCTTATCTTAGGAGAAGCGATGCAGTCCAACCTAAATGTAGCGGCATCATTAAAGCACTGAAATAAAACAACAGTCAGCCAAGTATCCCATACACAGCAAAAATATCTTTCAAATATGAAGGTGAAAAAAAGACTTTTTCAGACAAAAATAAGCTAATTTATTACTTGCGCTACACAAAATATTAGAGGGATTTCTTCAGGCAGAGGAAATATGAAAACAGACAGAAATGTGGATGTCCACAAGGGAAGCAAGATATTTTTCTTATTTTTAATCATTCTAAAAGAGAACTGACTTCTAAAGTAAAAATAGTAGACATGTAGTATAGGTTTATAGCATATATATATAACATGTAAAATATATCATAACGTTCTGCTGATGGGCATCCAATATATATCTAGTTTCCTTGTTTCTATGAATAAGGCTGATAAGCCTCCTGGTAGATGTGTTTATATATAGGTACATTTACGTCTCTGGGATAGATTCCAGGAGAGGGATTGCTGAAAAGGCTGTATTTGTAATGTTAATAGATGCCGTCAGATTGTTTAGGGTGATGACAATACGTTTATACTAGCAATGTAGGAAGGCCCTTTCTACCATTTTTTCACCAACAGCAGGTATACTCGTTCTTTTTAAAACTCACTACCTGAAAGTAATAGAGAAATACACTGCTACTACCTTAGTGGCCATTTCCCTGAATGGGACTGAACTGCACATGTGAGGGATCTGGGTTGCACACTCCTTATGGGAAACTAATGCCTGATGATCTGAGGTGGAACTGAGGTGGTGATGCTAAGGCTGGGGAGCAGCTCCAAATACAGATTAACAAGCTCAGTGCTCCCCTTGATTCTACATTACAGTGAGTTGAGTTGTATAATTATTTCATTATATATTACAATGTGTAATAGAAACAAAGTGTACAATAAATGTTATGCACTTGAATCATCCTGAAACCATCAACCAGTTCATGGAAAAACCATCTTCCATGAAACCGGTCCCAGGTGCCAAAAATGTTGGGGACTCCTGCTTTATATTCTTCAGCTTCACAACCACAAGTCTAGGTATTGGCTTATTCTTATTCGTCTTGCTCAGTATATTCGGAGTGCACTTTTGATCTGACAACCTAGTCTCTTCCATAAAGATAACTTGGATAATCTTTTCTAATTATTATCTTCCAATTTATTAACTCTTTGATAGTGTCCAGTATAGATCAATCTTGTTTACTAAGTTTTGATTTTTAATGACTATATTTTTCATTTTAAGCTTTCTAGTTAACTAGTTCTCTCTCACAGTCATGTTATTTCATTTCTTTCTGTTTTTATTTCCGATATACTCTTTTTTATGAATATTATTCCTTCATTTATCTTTGAGGCTACTCAAAATATTCCCATAGTTATGCTATTAGTTTTTAATTCTATTTGGATAAATTTACCTTAATTATGATCATGACTGTTATTTTTCTATTGTTACTTTCAGCATGTATTTTGTTATGCAAGCTCATCTAATATGGTTTAATACTTCCAAATCTATAGGTTATGTGGTGGCTTCCTAGAGTCTCAGACTGAAACCAGGTCTCATAATTGGTGCATTGGTGCTCCTGCCCTACAATCACACTAAAGACAGTACTGGCCGGGCTTATCACCATGCCGGTATCAGTTTGTTTCAAGATCCCATGGTGAGGCTGTTTCTGTGTACTTTTGCCTCCCCAGACATAGAATTTAACTGTTATTATTAACACATTTATTCAGGCTCTTTAATTTAATAAAGGATCTATTCCAGCTCCTAATTTCTAGCAGAGAACCTGGCACTAGTGTCTGGCCTACAGTAGCTGAGCTCCCAGCCACTTCTCCTCCTTCCAGCTCAGCAGGCTCACTGTTTTGACTGCTTTTTCTGTTTCTGTTCCATCAAGAAATAGCTGTCTCATTTTGGGATTTGGCTATGTGTTTAAAATGTTTTCTTTTTATGATTCATCTATTATTGTTATGTTTTTGAAGCAAAGGGGAGAAGATGAGACTTCAAATTTGGAACTAACAAGATAATCTTGACCAGAAGTTCTCTGAATTATATTTGCTTCTCATTTTGGTATTTGAATTAGTATAGAAGAAGGAAGAGACTTCAAACTTCAGAATTCTCTCTCAC